TTGAATATCTAATCACTGGCTAAGATTAGGCTTATTTATACTGTTTGTTCTATTCCTTTGATTAGTATGTCTGTCCTTAAACCAAACCATACTGTCTGTGCTACTGTAGGATCACTGAAAATCTTGAAGTCAGGTAGTGTAAGTCTTCTCCTTTTGTATTTTTTTTTTCCCCAGGGTTGCTTTGGATAGTCCTCTGCATTTCCACCTAAAGTTTAGGATCAGTTTCTCATTTGAAAAAAGAAAGAAAAAAAAGAAGACCTGAGTAGTGTTTATTTTGAGATTTTACTGTATCTATAGATAACTTGAGGTAGAAATTACATCTTACCAATATCAACTCTTACAAGCCACTACCTAAATCTTTTCAAATTCATCTCAGCAAAATAAACATTTGTGAGATTCAGTTAAAGCAGAGTTTAGAAGGAAATTTATAGCCTTAAGTGCTTATTTTAGGAAAGGTCTATGATCAGTGACTTAAGAAGCTAGAAAAAGAACAAAGTAAATGCAAAGTGAGTACAAGGAATGGAATAAAGAAAATAAGAGCAAAAATCTGTGAAATATAACACTATTAGCAGAAAAATTTGCCAAGAAAATGCTGAATGTCTGAAAAGAAAATGATATATTGCAAAAAATGAAATTTAAAAATAAATGTTAAAATAAGTAAATTTAAAAAAAGAAAATGATATATTGCTACTAAATTATATATTGTTGCATAGACTAATCAAGAGAAAAAGAAGGCATAAATAATTCAAGAGTGAAGGGGAAGTTACTACATATTCTTGATACTTTAAAAGGATACTAAGGGGATATTATGAACAAGTTTCTACTAACAAGTTTAACACTTTATATGAAATGAATGAATTTTTGAAAAATACTACGGATACAGGATGGGACAAAATCTGAATATAGTACTTTTTTTAAGTAATTAAGTTGGTGGTGGATCCCCGAACCTGCACAAGTGATAAAAACATTCCATATTTTAAAAGAATTACACACCATGCCCAAATGGAATTTATTCTACGTATGCAAAGCTCAGCATTAGAAACTCTGTACTATAGATTAGTCAATTTATATATCCTCTGATAGAAGCTTTCTTTCCAGCTCTCTTCCTTTCTTTCTAAGTCCTCAGCAAAGTCACATTTGTCATCCATATTTCTACCAGCAGTGTCTTCTTGCTTTTTCTAGTATGTACCTCAACTCTTTCAGCCTCTAACTGTCACCTAGTTCCAAAGCCACTTCTACAAATTTTAGGTATTGGCTATAGCAGCATCCCACTTTTTGGTATCAAGATCAGTATTAGGGTTATTGAGTAACAGAACCATTTGGATGTATGTGTACACACACACACATACACACATACACGCACACACACACTCCTCTTTCACCCTGATCAAGAGGCTCTTTAGTGCCTCTTCACTTTCTGCCATTAGAGTGGTATCATCTGCATATCTGAGGTTGTTGATATTTCCTCTGGCAGTCTGGATTACATCTTGTTGAGTCATCCAGTCCAGCATTTTGCATGATGTCCTCTGCATGTAAGTTAAATAAGCAGGGTGAAAATATACAGTCTTGACGCATTGCCTTCTCAATTTTGAACCAGTCTGTTGTTCCATGTCTGGTTCTGACTCTTGCTTCTTGACCTACATACAGGTTTCTTAGGAGATAGGTAAGGTGGTCTGGTATTCCCATCTTTTTAAGAGTTTCCACAGTTCGTTGTGATCCACACAGTCAGAGGCTTTAAGGTAGTCAATGAAGCAGAGTAGATATTTTTTTGGAATTCCCTTGCTCTTTCTATGATCCAACAGATGTTGGCAATTTGATCTCTGATTCCTCTGCCTTTTCTAAGTCCAGCTTGTACATCTGGAAGTTCTTGGTTCATGTACTGCTGAAGCCTAACTTGAAGGATTTTGAGCATTACCTTGGGAGAGGGTCAGTCTTTTGTTCTACTCAGGCCTTTCAACTGCTTTACTCAGTCTTCCTATTTAAGTGTTAAAGTCTTCCAGAAACACCTAGCTGCTGCTGCTGCTGCTGCTAAGTTGCTTCAATCGTGTCCGACTCTGTGCAACCCCATAGAAGCCCAGAATAGTGTTTAAATGTTTGGGCAACCTGTGGCCAGAGCAGTTAATGCATAAAATTAACTGTCACATATTTTAATATTTATTTTATATTGTCTTAAAATCATGGAGACGGAATATTATGAAAGTTGTCTGGTTTCCAGGGATTAATTCAGATTCTTATCAAAAGTGTTCCCTTTTTTCAAATATGGACCAAGTCTTAAAATTCTTTTAATTGTTAAAAAGCAGTGAATGCACAGCATTCTTTCTTCTATTGTAATCCAGTACCTGTGGCATCTGTTTAACTCACTGGTATAATTTTATTCCTTACAATTACAGCTGCAGAAGGAAAAATTTCTTTAAGAAGCCATTAGGCATGGATTTTTTTTCTGTTTCCTTTGGGATGTTTGTTGTACATCCCAAGATGGACAGTTGTTGAAATTCTTATTGGTCTGAAAAATTAATTGGCATGAGAGTAGCTGTAGGTTATAAAAGAGTTTATAAACTGATCATTTTTTTTATATCTTGGAAACTTTCGTGATTATCTAAAAAGAATTACCTTGGCAAAATTTTATTTCTTCTTTTATTGAGGAACTTGCATGCTTAAAGCCACAGTGAACATTGTAACTCTTAATCATTTTTAGTTAAAATTTGTCACATTACTAGATAGGCACAAAAATTTTGATGAATGAACAGCCTTAGTAGAGACTAAGGCTCCCATAAGGACAGCGTTAACTGTACTTAAATCAGTCACTGTATTTAATACAAAAGACACTGGACAGCATACCTGTAATGGAGTAGTTTACCACTGGCCTTAGACTTTATGCCCAGCTGGGAGCAAAACAGCTCAAGGAGAAGGCAGTGGCTGCTTTTCTCTTCCATCGCAGACAGATCATAGACAAGGAGACAATAATGCAATACTGAAAGCTCAGCTGTCAGAGCTTTAGAATTACAATGAAATTATTTCTTGGAAACTGCTAGCCAGAAATGTACATGCCTGCCATGAGTTTTGAAAATGTGGACAGTCTAGCTTAACAAAATAAACTCACTCACGGTTCAATGGGCTGAGCTAAAGACCAACCATGGTGGGACCCCTGATGGCCAGAACTGTATACAAAGACTGAAAGGATATTCACTTTCACTGGCAGTCCAGTAGGGTCAGTACTTATGAGTGATTGCTGCTGCTGCTGCTGCTGCTGCTAAGTCTCTTCAGTCGTGTCCAACTCTGTGTGACCCCATAGATGGCAGCCCACCAGGCTCCACCGTCCCTGGAATTCTCCAGGTTAGTCAGGGCTATTTCACAGGATCCTCTAGATTTAGCATCACACACACACACAATGAAGTTTACTAAATAGTTTGCTGAGGAGGAAGTGTAGGGCCTTTTAAGTGTTAGGAAGGGCTTTCATGGTAGCTATTATTGTTAGTATTAAAAGCTGGTATCTTAGACAAGACGGAATGAGTAACTTTCTGTAAAAGGGTCAGAAAGTAAATATTTTAGGCTTTGTAGTTTTAATGTTTTTTTTGTTGCAACTACTCACCCTTGCTTTTGTATGTGAAAGCTGCTATAGACACAGCATAAAGATTGAATGTGGCTGTGTCCAATAGACTTCTTTACAAAACACGTGATTGGCTGTACTTTGCTGACCAATGTTGTTGATTGTTCGTAAAATACATCTCAGTTTTGATTGGTGAAGAAAGAAACATGTATGTCTGGAAAGGCCTGGTGTACTGAATTTATTTAAGGTTCATGGTATTTTTCATCCGCTTCAGGTGGATAGAAGCAGGATGATAGAACAAGGCATCCAAATTTGATATCTGCAAAAATTATTTTAGGTGGAAAGTTTCCATTTACAACAATTTGTATTGAAAAAAAAAAGCAAAGCACTGAGAAGAGCAGGTCTTAGATTGATTGGGGTCATTGGGAGCCAAAATCATTTAAGGGGTTGTAGGCCTAGACTATGTCTTCGTGTTTCACTGCCAAATCCACACACCATGTTAGAGGTCCCAGCACATAATCCTCTAGGAAATACTTGTTTAGGACAGGAAACACCTTCTGGTTCACTTATCACATGGATCTCTGACCTGTCCTCTATACTGCCTCCATGAGGTAGTTCAGTTCAGTTGCTCAGTCGTGTCCAGCTCTTTGCGACCCCATGGACTGCAGCACGCCAGGCCTCCCTGTCCATCACCAACTCCCGGAGTTTACTCAAACTCATGTCCATTGAGTCAGTGATGCCATCCAACCATGTTATCCTCTGTTGTCCCCCTTCTCCTCCCACCTTCAATCTTTCCCAGCATCAGGATCTTTTCAAATGAGTCAGTTCTTTGCATCAGGTGGCTGAAGTATTGGAGTTTCAGCTTCAACATCAGTCCTTCCAATGAATATTCAGGACTGATTTCCTTTAGGATGGACTGGTTGGATCTCCTTGCTGTCCAAGAGACTCTTAAGAGTCTTCTCCAACACCACAGTTCAAAAGCATCAATTCTTTCCCACTCAGCTTTCTTTATAGTCCTACTGTAGAATGATTCCCTTTTTTGACTCCATCTTTTCTTATAGGAAAAGTCCCTAAAGAAATTTGTAATAAGTTATGTATTTTAACTCTCAGTAAAAGCATATGTTTGTAGATATTGTTTACAGTGGTATTAATGACTGTGGCTTGTAGGATAATTGTATTGGGGGCACATGTATAACTCTGATGGCAGTGATTTATAGGGCTAGAGCTGCCTGTGATGCTTTCTTAAAACTCCTTAAGCTGGGCTGATACTTAGAGTTGGCTCATTATGTGGGTTTTATGTGTTGTAAAAGGTATGCATTAATATGTCACCATGGGTTGGAAGGAAGGTCTTTGAAGGAAGTCTTTGTGTGGGAGCATCTGAGGAATGAGAGCTAGACAAATGTTACCATCCACAAGATACCTTTGGTGATTTTTACTGACACTTTCTCTCCAGCAGAACAAAGAACAGAATTCCAGCCCTGTCTCTCCTGCCTGGTGACTTTTTCCAGTCCACGGATCCTCCATCAATATGTGCTCTGTGGTCACTCCCTTCAGATCTTCCCAGGTTCATCTGCAGAAAGCCACTTCCTACTAGAAGCTCCAAGCTGCTTGAAAGACAAAGTAGAAGATGGAGAGAGAAAAGGCTCTGGCACTGTGTTTGGGAGGCTGCGGCTGAGTGGGACTTCAAGGGCATTTTTCAGCTCATCTCAAGGTCAGCCAGTAGACCAGGGAGGCAATAGCAGTGGAAGAATAGACCAGGGGATGATCTCTGATGAGGCAGATGCAGTATTGACAGAGACAAATATCTCAGAATCTGAAGCAGTCATATGTGAAAACTATAGAATAGGATTTAGCACAAAATCAAGCCTCTTTAGCCTCCAGAAGCATCATGTGTGCCCTGAATGTGGCAGAAACTTCTGCCAGAAGTCAGACCTCGTCAAACACCAGAGGACTCACATGGGAGAGAAGCCGTATAGTTGCAGAGAGTGTGGGCGAGGCTTTGGCCGGAAGTCCTCCCTCACCATACACCAGAGGAAGCACTCAGGGGAAAAGCCCTACATGTGCAGGGAGTGTGGGCGACACTTCAGGTATACATCCTCCTTAACTAACCATAAGAGGATACACTCCGGGGAGAGACCCTTTGTATGTCAGCAGTGTGGGAGAGGCTTCCGCCAGAAGATCGCCCTCATCCTGCACCAGAGGACACACTTGGAAGAGAAGCCCTTTGTGTGTCCAGAGTGCGGAAGAGGCTTTTGCCAGAAGGCATCACTCCTTCAACACCGTAGCTCGCATTCAGATGAGAGGCCCTTCCTGTGCCTGGAGTGTGGGCGTGGCTTCAGGCAGCAGTCACTGCTCCTCAGTCACCAGGTCACACACTCGGGCGAGAAGCCCTATGTCTGTGCTGAGTGTGGGCACAGCTTTCGCCAGAAAGTCACCCTCATCAGACACCAGAGGACACACACAGGGGAGAAGCCTTACCTGTGCTCCGAGTGTGGGCGTGGCTTTAGCCAGAAAGTCTCCCTTCTGGGCCACCAGAGGACGCACACAGGGGAGAAGCCTTATGTGTGCTCTGAGTGTGGGCGTGGCTTTGGTCAGAAGGTTACCCTCATCAGACACCAGAGGACGCACACAGGGGAGAAGCCTTTTCTGTGTCCCGAGTGTGGACGTACCTTTGGCTTCAAGTCACTTCTCACCAGACACCAGAGGATACATTCAGGGGAGGAGGCTGATGGGTACGGAGTATGTGAGCAAAGACTTGGTCTGAAGATCCAGCTCACCTCTGACCAGAGGGCACACTCAGGAGAAAAGCCATGTGTGTGTGATGAGTGTGGACGTGGCTTTGGCTTCAAGTCAGCCCTCATCAGACACCAGCGGACACATTCAGGAGAGAAGCCATATGTGTGTGGGGAGTGTGGTCGTGGCTTTAGCCAGAAGTCTCACCTCCACAGGCATAGGAAAACCAAGTCTGGCCATCACCTCCTGCCACAGGAGCTGTTCTCTTGACATTTCCTTTCCTTCCCCATGAGAGTCTAGGAGGCAGAAATCACTAGGAAATACTCCACTTCCCTTAAAATGCAGTTAAGAAAAAAAAAGTTGCATTTTTTCAGTGATCATAAGATAGTTGATTTATGGTTTACTTCCTGCACTGGCAATGTGTTTTAATTTGCCAGGGCTGCCATAACAAAATGCCACAGACTTGGTAGCTCAAAGAACAGAAGTTTATTTTCTCATAGTCCTGGAGACTAGAAGTCTGAGATCAATGTGTAGGCAGTTTGGTTGTTATTGAAGTTTTTCCCCTTGGCTTGCAGATGATTGCATTCTTGCTGAGTCCTGAACTGGTCATTTTTTCCCCTGTGTGTGCACTTTCCTGGTAACTCTCTCTCTTCTTTCTGAGGACACCAGCCATACTGGGTTAGGGCGTCACCATATGACCTTGTAAAGGCCCTGTCATCAAATAAAGTCATGACTTTATGTGTTATGTTATGACTTCAATATGTTAATTTGGGGGAACAATTCAGTCTCAACAGCTCAGTCCTCAGGACCCCCTATATTCACATTCTTCAAGTACAAAATACATTCACCCCAAATTAACAGCATCAAAAGTCTTAGCCCATTTCAAGTTCATCTCTACATTAAAAATCTCACCCAAGTTTCATCTAAGTTGAGTGTGGATGAGATTAGAAGTGCATTTCATCCTTTCCAGCTGTGAACCTGTGAACCAGACAAGTTATTTGCTTCCAAAACACAATGATGGGACAGGCAGAGAGTTCACATTCCCATTCTGAAAGTGGAAAGGATTTATTGGTCCCAAGCAAGTTTAAAACGTTACAAGGCAAATTCTATTAGTTTTTAAGGCATGAGAATGGTCTCTGGTTGTATCATAGTTCTGGAGACTAGAAGCCCTCTGGTCTGGCGGGTGTGGTAGAGGTGTATGTGGCCCACTGAAACCATGGAAGAACCATACTGGCTCCCCAGACTTTTACTGTCTGGGCCTGTTTTGGAAGTGGCAGACCTGCTCGTCTCTGTTTCACCTTTGGGGTCATTCTCTCCTCTTCTTGATAGATGATGTAGTCAGATAGTTAGCTCTATTCTCCCGTCTTGTAGAATCCCAGAAGTCTAACAGCCTGCCTTCATTTTGTCCCATCTATGTCACCTTTAGTTCTACATCTGAGAAGGTTGATTGCTTCCAAACTCAACTCTTTATTAAACCATGTCTAACTACACTAAAGTATTATTTCCAGAACATGCTTCTCATTTTCTGCAACATAGATATCCATAGCCTGAGAATTTTCCAAATCTCCAAATTCTAGTTCTCAGAATTTTGTTTAATAGTTCCTTCAATTTATCTTTCTACTCTCACATTTTACTGTATGGAGGGAGAAACCAGGTTGCATGTGTAACACTTTGCTTAGAAATCTCCTTAGCTAAAAATTTGTTGCTTATGTCACAATTTCTACTTTCCACAAAACACTGAAACACAGGCCAGGTTCTTTGCCACTTTATAACAAGGATTGTCTTTCCTGCAATTTCCAATAATATGTTCCTTATTTCTGAGACTGCACCAGAATCACTTTTAATGTCCATATTCATACCAACAGTCTCTTTTAGACAAAAGACTTTTTATAACAAGTGCCTCAAACCTCTTCCAGCTTCTCCCATCACCCAGTTCCAAAGCTATTCCATATTTTCAGATATTACCCTCAGTACCAAAATTGTATTTGTTTGCTAAGACTGGCATTACAATACCAAAGGCTGGAATGACTAAGTGACAGAAATTTATTTTCTCAGTTATGGAGGCTGCAAGTCCATTAAGGTGTTGACAGGGTTGTTTTCTATTTAAGTCTCTCTCCTTGGCTTGCAGATGGCTGCCTTCTTGCTGTGTCATCATGCAGGCTTCTGCACATGTGCTGGAGAGAGAAAGTGAGCTCTTGTATCTCTTACTCTTATAAGGACACCAGCCCAATTGGATAAATACCTCATCCTTTGCCACTGTTTAATCTTAATTACCTCCTTATGAGCCCTATGTCCAAATACTGGAGAGTTAGAGGTTCCCAGCCTGAGATGCTTGCACTGGCACTTCCCATCCTGAGACGCTTTATGCACACTGACCATGGCCAGTGAGGGCTGGGTATTGAGGCTTAGGCTTCAGCAGTCAGACTCCAGGGAGAAGGCTGGGGTTGACTACCTTGAAGACAGTCTGAGGGGGCTAGTACAGGACATTTGAGGAAGTCTAGGAAAAAGCTTGGCCTGCCAGAGAGGCAAGAGATCATTGTTGTTCAGTTTAGTTCAGTCACTCCATTGTGTCTGACTCTTTGTGACCCCCATGGACTGCAGCACACCAGGCTTCCCTGTCCATCACCAACTCCTGGAGCTTGCTCAAACTCATATCCGTTGTGTCAGTGATGCCGTCCAACCATCTCATCTTCTGTCATCCCCTTCTCCTCCTGCTTTCAATCTTTCCCAGCATCAGGATCTATTCTAATGAGTCAGCTGTTCACATCAGGTGGCCAAAGTATTGGAGAAACATGCAACAGATGAAGGAGCATGGTAAAAGCCCACCAGACCAAACAGATGAAGAGGAAATAGGCAGTATACCTGAGAAAGAATTCAAAGTAATGATAGTAAAGATGATCCAAAGTCTTGGTATTAAAATGGAGACACAGTTATGGATTGAAGAGATACAAGACATGTTTAGCAAGGACCTAGAAGAAATAACAGATAATCAGCAATGAACAACAAAATGACTGAAATAAGAAAATACATTAGAGGGAACCAATAGTGGAATGTGGCAGAAGAATGGTTAAGTGACCTGGAAGATAGAATGATGGAAATAACTGAAACAGAATAGAATAAAGAAAAAAAAAATGAAAAAAATGAGGACAGTCTCAGAGACCTCTGGGACAACATTAAGTACACCAATATTCAAATTATAGGGGTCCCAAAAGGAGAGAAAAAGGGTATGAGAAAATATTTGAGGAGATTAGAGTTGAAAATTTATCTAACATAAGGAAGGAGACAGCCAGCTTAAGTCCAGGAAACCCAGAGAGTCCTATAAAGGGTTTACCCAAGGAGACACATGCCAAGACACATATTAATCAAACTAACAAAAATTAAATGCAACATTGTTAAAAATCAGCAAGGGAAAGAACAAATAGCATATTAGGGAATGCCCATAAGGTTAATAGCTGATATTTCAGCAGAAACTATTCAAGGCAAAAGGGGTATACTTAGAGTGATGAAACGAAAATACCTGCAACCAAGATTACCCAGCAAGGATTTCATTTAGATTTGATGGAGAAATCAAAAGCTTTACAGACAATCAAAAATTAAGAGAATTCAGCACCACAAAACCAGCTTTACAACAAATGCTAGAGGAACTTCTCTAGACAGGACACATAATAGAAAAGACTTACAAAAACAAACACAAAACAATAAAGTAAATGCTAATAGGATCATACATGTCAAGAATTAAACATAAATGGATTAAATGTTCCAACCAAAAGACACAGACTGGCTGAATGAATAGAAAAACAAGACTCCTATATATACTGTCTACAAGAGACCCATTTCAGAGCTAGGGACCCATGCAGACTAAAAGTGAGGGACTAGAAGAAGATATTCCATGCAAATGGAAGTCAAAAAAAGAGGAGAGTAGCAATACTCAGATAAAATTGACTTTAAAATAAAGGTCATTACAAAAGATAATGAAGGACACTACATAGTGATCAAGGGATCAGTACAAGAAGAAGATATAACAGTTATATATGCACAGGAGGACCTCAAATGCTAGCAGGGGAATGCTAAAAGGGGAAATTGACAGTAACACAAACATAGTGGGGGATTTTAACACCCTACTCACACTAATGGACGGATCATCCAGACAGAAAATTAATAAGGAAACACAAGCCTTAAATGACACATTGATCCAGGGGACCTAATTGGTGTATTCAGTATATTCCATCCAAAAACTGTAGAATACATTTTTTTCTCAAGTACACATTGAACATTCTCCAAGATAGATTACATCTTGGGTCACAAATCAAGCCTTGGTAAATTTAAGAAAATTGAAATTGTATCAAGCATTTTTTTCTGACCACAGCAATATAAGATTAGATAGCAATAATAGGGGGGGAAAGACTTTGAAAAACACAAACATATGGAGGCTAGACAATACGCTTCTAAATAATCAAGCGGTCACTGAAGAATTCAAAGAGGAAATTTAAAAAATACTGAGAAACAAATGACAATGAAAACATTACAACTCAAAACCTAAGGGATTCAGTAAAAGCAGTGCTAAGAGGGACGTTTAAGCAATAAAAGCCTACCTCAGGAAATGAGAAAAATATCAAATAGACAATCTAACTTTATACCTAAAGCAACTAGAAAAACAACAACAACAATGAAACCCTAAAGCAACTAGAAAAAGAAGAGAAACCCCCAAAGTTAGTATCAGGAAAGAAATCTTAAATATTAGAGCAGCAGTTTTAAACCATAAAAGTGTACAAGTTGCTTTGTTACAATAAAACTAAATGTGTACACAAAGGAAAAAAAATATCAGAGCAGAAATAAATGAAGAAATGAAGGAAACATTAACAAAGAATAAATCTAAAGACAGTTATTTGAGATGATAAACAATATTGACAAACCATTAGCCAGACTCATCGAGGCTAAAAGGGAGAAGACAATAAGAAATGAAAAAGAAGTTACAACAGAAAAGGCAGAAATATAAAGGATAATAAGAGGCTACTATAAGCAACTATATGCCAATAAAATAGACAACCTGGAAGAAATGAACAAATTCCCAGAAAGTACAACCTTCCAAGACTGAACCAGGAAGAAATGGAAAACGTGAACAGACCAGTCACAAGCACTGAGATTGAAATTCTGATCAAAAGTCTTACAGCAAACAAAAGTCCAGGGCCACATGGCTTCATAGGCAAATTCTATCAAACATTTAGAGAAGAGATAACACCTATCCTGCTCAAACTGTTCCAAACAATTGC